ATCATTTAAAACGTCCCTTACTTTTTATCAAATGAATATTTTCTTCCCTCACTTCTCATCAAATTAATTTTTTCATTTCTCACTTTTAAAATGTTAACTTTACACTTTTTACAAATTCAAATTAATAAAATTTGATTCCTACCTAATTTTACGATCATTTTTTAGTTTAAAATCACCATGTGATACACATGTAGTTATCTTTTTATATATGAAAAGATCAAATTCCACTTTTTTAGTGACAAAAAAATGAATATAGATTAGTGATTGATGATTTCCTGCAAGTGCATAGGGTCGATCGTAATAATAATTTACCTGGAGTATTCTAGGGTTAAATCCATAAGAATGAGTTAATTTCCTACTTTAATTATTCGAAAATAACAAAATTTAAATTCAAAGAGTGATTTTTTCTAACTAAACAATAAAGGAATAATCAATTCAAATAGAATAGTGGTGAGAAAACAATAGACGTGAGTCTAGAGTTTTAGGTTTGAATTCAGAATTAGAATCAATTATCTAATTAATTTCTCAATAAACCATGAATGCATCTCACAATTAAATTTTAGATTATCTTTCGATACATCTAAAGTGTGCATAATTAAATCCTACGTCTCTCTCGAGATCGCAAGTATTTAATTAAACCCTTTAAGAACTTCGGTGATTTAAGTGCACCATACAAATACTAACCTACTCTCATAAATATGTTAAGTATGTTTATCTATCTAGTGCTCGGTTGTATCTCCTTTCTCAATTTAATACAAACCATAAGAGCATGTTTATGGAGGTCAATCACAAACATATAATTAAATCAAGATAGATAAATCATAGCAAAAAGCAAGAAATTAAACTAGAAAAATTGATCAAATTCCTTCATAAAAATCTTAACCCTAGAAATAATTTAGTTCAACATGATTTAGAAGTTAAAACCATGAATTCAAAGAGTTGCTACAAAGTTAAAAAAAAAAAAAAAAAGTAAGAAAACTTTTTAGTTGCTTGCTCCGTTCTTCTCCTCGCGTGCTTCTTGAATCGCCTTCATTTGATCTTGATCTATCAAGAGTAAACTATGAAAAGATGTTAAAAGTAGGCTAGACTAATATTTTCCACTTTAAAACGACCTAAAGAACCCCTATTTATAGTTTCTTGAAGATATATCCTAAACAGGATAGGAATAGGCTTTATTGGAGTTTAAAAATCGCGTTTCCATGATGTCTTCACCTTTGACCAATATTGTCCCACAGTTGGCCACCTACTCTCTAGAGTTTCACACTTAGACATTCGTACATAAGCCATATCAAGTACAAGTCACTCAATCCACCCAAACCAATTCAAACCTAGGCTCTGATATCAACTCTAACACTCCTGACCAATATTGTCCCACAGTTAGCCACTCAGAAGGTCGTGAGTTTTGTTTCTGGAGATGGGTTATAGCCCACAACAAGTGAAGAGCCCAAATCCGCAAGTCAAGAAACCTAGCATCCCTCCAAAAGATCTCGGTCTGGTGGGGGGACATCCACAACAGGTTATAAAGCGGCCAGGACTCTCTTCCCTAGCCGATGTGGGATCGTTACAATCTTGGCCCCTTTATAACCTATTGTAGGTGTCCCCCCACCTGACCGAGGCCTTTTGGAGGGGTGCTGGGTTTCTTAACCTGCGAGCTTGGGCTCTTCACTTGTTGTGGCCTATAACCCCACCTCTAGGAACAAAACCCACGACCTTTTGGATGGCTAACTATGGGACAATATTGGTCAGGGGTTCTAGAGTTGGTATCAGAGCCGACTCCCGACTCTGATGTGCCAGCAAGGACGCTAGGTCCCCTAAAGGGGGTGGATTGTAACGATCCCACATCAGTTAGGGAGGAGAGTTCTGGCCGCTTTATAACCTGTTGTAGATGTCCCTCTATCTGACCGAGGCCTTTTGGAGGGGTGTTGGGGTTCTTGACCTGCGGGCTTGGGTTCTTTACTTGTTGTGTGCTATAACCCCACCTCCAGGAGCAAAACTCACGACCTTCTGGGTGGCTAACTATGGGACAATATTGGTCAGGGTGTTAGATAATGTCCAGTGCCGGTCATTGGGCTGAGCCAAAGAATCTGGAGATGTCTGGCGCGGAACATGGATCCTTCCGCGGATCATTACAGATCCGCGCGTGGATTCTCTTTAAAGCCTCAAAACCCCATCAAATAGTCTGAATCAATTCTTACTCAAACACAAAAGTTGTAGCCCTTTGAATAAACTTTTCAAAACCATAAGAGTCAAGTAATTGGGAAGTCTGGACATTGAGATGCGTCTAAAATACTGAGACCTGGTCATAAGAGCATTGCAGCACAATTATATTTTAGTAATTTGGACTTTTGACTATGAAACCTTAAGAACTGGACTTTGATGTCTTCACAAAGGTTGTAGAGTATTCTCTTAGATTTGAATTGAATCAAGAATCATCTCAATCCAATTTGTGTAATATCAATCTTGCCAAACCCATTCCTCTTGACTTTTTCCTCTTCCATTGCTTTTTCACGCCATGTTTTTACTCCATTTTCTCTCTAATTAGTTTTTCACCTATTAAAATTATATAAGGGCCAAATTAAGTAGTATCTACTCAAGATAAAACTCAAATATCATGGTTAACAAGAAATTTATACCTATAAATGCACTACAAGTTACCCCTATCAATTAGATTGGATCCCACCTTTTTTTGGATAAAAATAGATATGGTTTAGGTTAGATTCTACTTTTTTAGAGGTAAAAGTAAAAATGAATCGTCATTTGTATAATTACAAATGAGATCTAATTTTTTTGCTCCTGAAAAATGATCATAGGTCACGTGATGCATTTAAAATAAAAAATGGTCAAAAATCTATGTTGGAACCAACTTTTATCGGCCTAATTTTGTAAGGGATGTAAATTTACTATTACAAAAGTGAAGAACGAAAAAAATTTATTTGACAAATTTTAAGAGACATTTTGAATGATTTTTCCTATTTCTGCAAACGACAATGAGATATATTTTGAATTGATAACTTAATCCGTTGGACTGCTGTTCATTTGTAGTAATATCATCAAAGAATGTATAATTTGGTATTTATTATTTTCGCCACTATGGGGAGACATTTTATATTCTACTTTCATATCTCGAGTTTTACTTCCTTTTTAATTACGTATCTTTGACTTGATATAATGTAAAAGAAGATATTTAGTTTCTAATTAGGTATACATTTCAATTGCATAGATGTACCATGATGTCTTTGAACTATGTTCTTTGCACCTTCAGAGACAGTGAATAATACTTCAATGGAAATTTTTATCAGATATTATCCTTGTTCATTCATTTATTCATTTTCATCTGCGAAGCTGAAAGTTACTTAACCAATTTGAGTTACTATACATGGAACTTAAACAATTAATCAAAAGATGCAACTCTTTTAATTTATGCATCAAAACGAGAATTCGAAATATGTTTGGACAGCCAAAGAAGAAATAAATATAGAGCTAATAACTGAAGTACTAAAATGTATCATAAAATTTTTCCAAATAAACAAAGAAAATAATGGAGTAAGACGTAATGGATTTTACAATAGTTAATACAAAACTATTTTGCTTTTTTAACCTTTTAGTAAGACATACGAGATCCAGTATGCTACATAGCCACAAAGACATCTCCAGATAATGGAATCGTTCCTCAAGAATATTCAGACAGCCGAAAAAGTCATATCCAGCAAAAATGGAAATAGAGTTTAGAGTAGGATATTGGCATTTAATTTGATAATAGAACATGGAATGAATAAGCTAACATTTGAATCTCATACATGAATGCAGCATGTTAGCTTGCAAAGTGATCGCAAAAAAAAAAAAAAAAATTATCTTCATTCCCCTGTAAAGATGTGGAAAAAAAAAGATTTTGGTTATAACGAATCATTTTTCACTTTAAGGAACAAATTTTCAATTTGATAGCAATGGATCCTTCATGTATATGTTACTGGAGTGTATTTACTCCAAAAATCTCTCGATAAATATAAAAAGTCAATTATCATATGACGGGAAATGGAGAAAAGAAAACTGGTTAATGCAACAAAAACTGAACAATTTAGAAATTTATTTTATAACATTCGATTTTGGAGTCCAGAAGAAAGAACATTTGCATGCGGTTATTAGTTTTTGAAGGACATCACCACCTCACTAAGACTTGATGACAGGATTTGATGGTTCAGTTTGAATAAAATTCCTTGAACCATATTGGAATCAGGGATTCCGAACAATTGAGTATCAAAAATTAATAAAGGAAACAATCTAGTTCTCCATTGGTAATTCTCATTTCCCTAGTCTCTATCATTTTTATCATGGACGTTATTTGGTGTTTCATTTTACGTCTTAGGCGTCTATGACCTGGAAAGAGAAGAAGGAGCTTGAGAATAAGAAGGTTGTTAATTCAGGCAGAAAGGTAAAATTCTTTATGGCGTCAAGAAGAAGAAGAACAGTGAGGAAAAATTACTTCAAGAAATTGAAGGCTGTGACCCAATTAGTCTTAGTATCAGTCTCAATATTTGAGGGTTTTTGGCCCACCTAGTATGAGTTATTGAGTTTTTCTGTACTTGTTATTTTGTGGCTTCCTAGAGAAAAAAAAAAGGAGAAAAGGAAAATTTAATTTACATTCAAATCCCTGTGTTTTATATCACATAAGCAAACTTTTGTCGGATCCCAAGTGAGGAGACGATCCCTTGCCAAAGTTCGAAGACCTTCCGTCGACTGTTGTTGCAAAGTATCAAAGAGAATTGGCATTTCTACATGGCATGGAATATGGATCAGATTTTTGATGTTACATAATAGAGTAGTGTAGTTTGATTTTTCTTGCATGCTTCTGAATATGTGCATTGCTTTGGCATCGTTTGCCTTCTAAAATTTGATTTAATGCCTAAAGAAATGTAATCAATTTCTGTATTCAGATGATCAAATGCATATCAAGATTCTGCCCCTCGCCTAATGTGTGGAGAATCTCAAGTTGCATCTTTTGGTCATGGACAATTAGGATTTCTTCCTGGTCCACCATAGAAAAAGAAATCTCCGGCATCATCATTCTTTGCAAGTATTATGTTGTAGCAATTCGGCTTTTGAGCTGTAGATGTGATGTCACCAGGAGGGACCAAAGTGTTGGATTGATCAACTACTTGAAGATTCTTGAAGTAACTTGCCCCTCCAGCTTGTTCTTCAGAAAAATGGCCACTGCCCATTTGAGTTGTGGTGTGTTGCCCACCTTGAGCAGTATTTACCACCCCTCCACCCCATTGAATTAGTGAAGCACTGTCTGCGAGGCTTGTAAATAAGGAAGCAGGCCAATAACCAATTACACCGTCATTCCCATATTGTAGCCACCACACATTTTGCTTTGGATCCTAACAAAATTTTACCATCATATAAGTTTTTCAAATCACAGAAAACATTTGGCTATGTTCTGCATAATATATTGGGATCTTAATCAATTTGTTTGTCATTACCTTAAAGATACATAGGATGATATCATATTGAGCACCATGATAGGTAGAAACAGGTGAAATGGTGGCACCCAATGCAATTGTTGTATTGGTCTGAACAAAGCCAGGGCAGAACAAGTTGTAGCACCCTACGGATTGATAGCCATCTCTCTGTTACAATGACCAAATTTTGGTAGCAACTTAGATTCGGGCAAGCATATTATATAAACAATTGGATTGATGATATTTTGTGACTTACTGTCCAGAAAGTGAAGAGTCTTGTGTTGTTATCTCCATATAGACTTGGACTTACCTATAATATTAACAACTGAAATAAGTAGACAACAAAGTACAAGGCACATGCATGGCCAGATATTTTTATTGTTGAAGAACAAATTGAATTGCTGATTGACTATTTATGATAGGGAAGAAGTACCATCCAACCAGCTTCAACGCTGTTCAGAAATGAATTAGCACCTGCAAGAACCCATATTTGAGCCAAGCTAAATTCACCACTGGTCTGAACTTGGGGTTGCCAAACGTTTATAGTTGCCTTTGCTCCGAAATACACGTTATTTTGGACAGATGCAACTGCATGCTAAAGAATTGCAGAAAAAAGAAAATGAGAAATCGATAAAATAAGTTAAAAATGGGAAAGATTTAAATAAACTCAAAAACCTCAAAAATTACCCTCTTGTAAAAAGAATTTACTTGTACAAAGTTGCCAACACTACATATATATATATATATATATATATATATAAAAGTATGCGCGCGCGTGCGCTTAAACCTATGTAAACATGCATGTGTGTGTCGCGCACGAACACAGTATATATAAACCTATGTAAACATGCATGTGTGTTGCTACAAAATTCTAGCAAAAGAAAAAAAAAGCACTATATGTAGATGTTTCAAGTGATTCTGCCATGCATATCAACACTTAAAAATTTGTACAATAAGTGGTTAAGTTTATTGCCATTATCTACACAAGAAATTTCCAATTGTTTATGGTACCTCGTGAGTAGAAGGGTCATCAAGCTGGGAAAAGCTTTTGTGCTTCTTCTTTGCATATCTCTTGAAATTTCTTGCTTTCTGGTTCCTTGTAATAGGAATAGTTCCTTCAGGGCATTCCCCACTCAGCTGCCATAACTGAGCAAATGGTTTTTTATCCTCTCGGCCATGAGCATTGGATTTGAACAGTTCACCCTCACCAATTGGTCCTTTCTGAGGGTGCAAACTAGGCCTCATCTGCAACGTGCAAAAATACATAAAATTTTTACTTTTAATTACTTACACAATTATGTGTACAAATTTGAATATACACATGCACTTGTAGAGATTTTTCCCTTTTCTTGCTTTTGGGTGGGATAGAAAGTCTCACCAAAATGGTATGATTTTTGAGCAAAGGATGATCAAACGCTGGTTGATGATAAATGTTGATACAATCAATAATATCACCATCAGGGCTCTGCCATTTAAAACAATCATGCACCAGTTAGTCATGTACGTGAGTCCTAAAAGTGTGGACGGCATACTTTACTTTTCAATTAGTAATGTAAGAAAGTAGAGCAAAACTAGCAGGAATAACCTTGATGGACTTGACAGGGATCTTGTTTGAACCGCTTAACGTTTTCCTGAACTGAATCTTCTTGCTGGAGGCATCACATAAATTCATCATGTATAATAAAACGAAGAAATAAATTCGCTTCATTTTCTTCTCACTTCTAAAATACCAATGTAAAATTGATTCACAGATTGGTGGTATGTATTTGATTTCATTACAAGGTGAATTTATAAGCTTTTAAAGTATTTAATTTGTTGGATTGTCGCTCAATCATAAAAATTAATGTGTATACAATTTATGTCTGAAATATATGACTCAAAAATAGAAATTTCTATATTATTATTTAGTAGTGTTTTAGTCAAGTTATGATTTTAGTAATGACTCAAAAATAGAAATTTCTATATTATTATTTTGTAGTGTTTTATTCAAGTTATGATTTTAGTAATTTTATTTGAGTCCTGTTATGGTAGTTTTATTATGTAGGAATTAGTATTTTATTAGAAAATTCTTGTAGTTGTAAGACTTATTTTTTGTGGAATTTTTTGGGTTTACAATTACTATTTAGTTTCTCATTTGGTATACAAATCAATTGTATAGATATACCATGTTGTTTTTGAACTATGCTCTTTGCACCTTTAGATATAACTATTATCTTATGTTAAGACATAAAAGATCCATTTCTACATACAACAAAGAAATATATTTTGAATTGATAACTTAATCTGTTGGACCGTTGTTCAATTGTAGAATTCCATCAAAACATGTACAATTTTCTATTTTTAATTTTCCTCACTATGGTAAGACATTTCTTATTCTACTTTCATATCTCGACTTTTACTTTCTTTCTAAAGTAAATAGGTCCTAAGGCCTTGTCCTTTTTTAATTACGTATCTTTGACTTTATGTAATGTAAAAGAAGATTTTTGGTTTCTAATTTGTTATAAATTTCAATTGCATAGATATCCCATGTTGTATATGGACTATGTTCTTTGCACCTTTAGAGAAAATGAATAATACTTCAATGGAACTTTTTGCCAGATATCATCTTTGTTCATTCGTTTATTCTTTTTCATCTGTGCAGATGAAAGTTAATTAACCAATTTGAGTTACTATACATAGAACTTAAACAATTAATCAAAAGATGCAGCTCTTTTAATTTATACATCAAAACAAGAATTCAAAACATGTTTGGACAGCCAAAGGATAAATAAATATATAGCTAATAAATTGAAATACTAAAACTTAATCATAACATTTTTTTCAAATAAACAAAGATTATAATGGGGTGAGACATAATGGATTTTACAATGGTTGCTTAATAGAAAACCTTTGAGCAAGACATATGAGAGGCCAGTATACTACATAGCCACAATGACATCTCCAGATAACAATGGATTCGTTCCTCAAGAAAATTCAGACAGCCAAAAAAGTCATAGTACCCATCAAAAGTGGAAATAAAGTTTAAAGAATGAATAAGATAACATTTGAATTTCATAAATGAATGCAGCATGTTAGGTTGCAACGTGATCTAAAAAAAAAAATTATCTTGGTTCCCTTGCAAAGATGGAAAAAAATTTTCTCTCCAAGAAAGAAATTTTCAATTTGATTGCACTGTGTTACTGGACTGTATTGCTCCAATAATCTCTCGATAAATATAAAAAATTTGTTTGGAAAGTTGAAAAATCAAATCGTCATATGACCGGATTTGTAGAAAAAAAAAATGGTTAATGGAACAAAAACTGAACAACTTAGGAATTTATTTTACCAGATTCGATTTTTAAGTCCAGAAGAAAGAAGATCTACATCTGGTTAAATGCTTGAAGAGATTGGTTGTTGGTTTACAGATTCATTATTTTTAGTGTATAGGGTTATTATCACTTTACCCCCTTAACGTTTGATATAACTATCAATTTCTCCCTTAACGTTATCTTTTAGTCACTTTACCCCCAAAACTAACGGTCAAACTTAACAGAGTTTGTTAATTAAAGTAAAAAGACAAATTTAGCCCTTAAAGTTATTATCACTTTACCCCCATAAACTATAGTTTCATTGTCAATTTACCCCATAGAGTTATTTTTTAGACAATTTATCTCACTATTAAACTAACTTAGCAAGTTAAAAAACCTTAGAAGAAAGTACCCTCCTCTTTCTATAATAAAAATAATAAAAAATTTAGAGTGGCTCTTCTCCTCTTTAGTATCAAGAAAAAAAGTCAAAGTATTAATTTTTTTCTTCTTGACAATCTTATTAGTAAATAATGTTAGGAATTAAAGCGATTATATCACTATAATTTAAAGGAATAAAGTAATAATAACAATATAGTAATGCTATAGAATAAAAGGGTATTTTTGTCCAAAATTTTTTAACATGTTGAGTTGAATTACTAATGGGGGTGAAGTGACTAAAAGATAACGTTAGGAAGTAAACTGATAGTAGTAATATAGTTGAAGGGGGTAAAGTGATAACAACCCTAGTGTATATTAATTGTAACTTTCTTTACCATTGATACTAACTCCTAGACCTTTTAGAGTTCGATGCCATGCACCTGGTTGACTTGTTCTTCTTAATTTTCAAAATCTTAAAATTCTTGTAAATAGACTTGTATGATTTTTACAATCTGCACTGTGGTATAAAAGGAAACAATTTTTACCCCAACGCATCACATTCTATTGGCTAATCACCTCTATAAATTGTATTCAAACTGCTGAAAAAATCCAGGTCCAGAAGAAAAGATCAATTTCTTTCTTCACCATTCTTACTTTGAAGGCAAACTCAAGTATGGCTAATTCATCAGGACTCCTCAAACTAGGGACTCTTGTAATGTTCGTATCCATGCTTATCATGAGTTTCTCCCATGGAGGGCAAGCACAAATCTCCTGTGACACTGTTGAAAACGACCTGCTTCCATGCCTTAGCTTCGTCCTGATTGGAGGAAAAGTTGCACCTGCTTGCTGCAGTGGGATTCAGACTCTACTCAGCCTGGCTAAGACTAAAACTGATCGCCAGAGTGTTTGTTCTTGCTTGAAATCTGTTGCTCAGAGTGCTACTGATGGTCAGCTCAAGAATGCTGCACAAATCCCTCATCTCTGTGGTGTTAATCTCCCATACAACATTTCTCGCAACATCGACTGCACAAAGTAATGTTCTATCTTGCACACTCTTTAATCTCTATAATTTTCATTATAATCACTAGTGCTCTAGGCATACAATTCTACTGTAATGAAATTTTCGGAAAAAAAAAACTTTTAATTGAACAAGATGACGAAAAAAACATAAAGAAGAAACTACAAAAAAGTGCTTCATAAGGTTTTTATATATTGTACAGATTTCGACATCAGAGTTTACAGGTTTGAGTGCATGAAAATAGAAAAGCCAAAAAAGAAAATGGTTATAGTCTTCATAAATGAATGCAGCGGCAAAAATTATCACGTATAAATCATTCAATAATCAATACAATTTAAACATGATCTTTACAATTTGGTGGGGGAAACTGACGATCTTTCAAGTGGTACTTATTTGAAAACTTTCTAAAGTCTTAGGGGGACGACTGCAGCCCTTCCTAGTTATCTCGTTGAATGCTTCTTGAGGAGGATTGATTTGTATATTGAGTTTTACAATGTTTTCTAATTAAATACATAATGTGCCTAACTGCAAAATTGCATTGCAGGGTGGGGTGAAGTGAGCTTGACGGACAATTGAGATGCGTTGCATCACTTTGCAATCTTGAATGGATTGTAAAAATTTATCAAATGCCTAATCCATGATGTCCAGTATCATTATTAATACCAGTGAAGGAATATGCTAAATGTTATGTATTATGTTATCTCAAACATAGATGTATGAATTCATATATATATATATATATGGAAAGTTACTCATCACTTAACATAATATTGTTCACTTATTCATTATGGGAAATATTCACATTTATGATATGTCTATATATGCCATATTTTCTGGAGACCCTTGGCTTGTTCATGGGGATGATATAGCCAAGAAAGGATAAAAAGACAATATACAGCTTAGATTTGCCAATAAATTGTTCACACATTTGAGTAATTGGAATCCCAAATTAAGACTCAGTTCATCTACATCATTGATCCTAGGTTTTGGGGGTGGATTTTGTGCCTATAAAAGGCTCCAAAATGCAAGAAAGGACAACAAGAGAGCATGGGGCGGCGGAGAGATCAAAGGAAAAAAAAAAACAGCAAAAAAGGAGAGAAAATTAAGGGAGGAAAAAAAAGTGCAGAAAATTATGATGAGAAACTTGAGAGCTGTCAAATTTTCTACCAAAATTCGACCCGAGTCTAAGTCTTTTAGGCATTCTTTTGTCATTTGCACTATCTACACTTGTAGTAGTGTAACCTTTGTTAAGAAAAATTCTCCAAAAAACATCTCCAGTACCCCCAAATTTCAGCTCCAAGTCCGCCCTAAAACTTTTGCTTAATTACACTATGGCCCAAAATCTAGGAAATTAATCAATTTTGCCCCCTTCTAACTTTAATCA